TAAAATTAATGTAGGCCATGTGATAATGATGATGGTGTATAAATGAGGTAAGAATACACACGTGAAGTTTATGCTGAAACTTTTCGTGTTGCAGCAAAATAGTGACTATTTTTCAATGACTTTGCAAACGTTGGCTATTTTTCAACTATCAGTCCGAAAACTGGCTAGCCCATGCTATTTTCACCCCAATATCTCTAGCGGTCCCAAATTATTCTTTTTCATGAAAAAATATACTTTTTCTTTGATATACTAAATATTTTTAAAAGAAAAATTATTACATACAACTATTTAATATTAGAAATTTTGGGAAATTTGGGGGCCTCAAGCAATTGCTTGACTTGCTTTACCATTGGGCCGCCCTTGATATCTAGCTAAGTATTATCTCCTATATACGTTACAGAATTAACATAACCGACATAAGGATAAGGCAACTAATAGCGTATTTGGCCAAGTTTCTTTTGAGTCCAAAATAATTTTTCTTGGTCAAAAGTGTTTCTTTTCTAAAATTAAGGTGTTTGGTCAAGCTTTTGAAAGGAAAAAAAGTGCTTTTGAAGAGAAGCAGGAGCAGTTTTGGAGAAGCAGAAAAAAGTAGCTTCTCTCCAAAAATACTTTTTTGAAAAACATTTTTGAGAAAAATATACTTAAAAGCAGTTTTTTTAAGTTTGGCCAAAACTAATTGCTGCTCAGAAGTACTTTTCAAATTAATCAGTCAAACACAAACTGCTTCTCACCAAAAGCACTCTTGAGAAAAGCACTTTTGAGCTTCTCAAAATAAGCTGATTTTTACAGTTTGGCCAAACGGGCTATAAATTGAGCATATTAGTACACGCAAGTTTAACTAATAATATATCTCTAATTGAGTTTTCTCTAACTTAGCATGATTTCCTATTCAAAAAGGGCATGATATTAGAAGTACTTGAGGATTATGAACTTGCATATGTGGGATCAAGCGTAGGGGAGTCTTGGAGCAACGATAAAAGTATCTCTATATGACCTATAAGTTATGAGTTTGAGCCATGAAAGCAGTCATTAATGCTTGCATTAGGTTAGGCTGTGTATATCACACCTTTGGGTACGGTCCTTTTCCGAACCTTGCGTGAAGACAGAATGCCTTGTGCACCGAGCTGCACTATATGTGAGAGCAAGCATATGCTTGCCTTATAACAACAACAACATACTTTTCTGCTTCAAATGAAAGCAAACATAATCAAGACGAACAAGTTTCAAGGAGTTTTCACTAAAATAAATATGCCAAACGATCTTTATCCGACTCAATATTTTTCATTTTTGCCTTCCAAGATCTACAATTGCGCTATAACAATAACAACATACTTCTCTTCTTTCACACTATCAACTACAAGAACAAGAAATCTAACAACTTCACACTTCTACAAAACCCGAAAGAAAAACCTACACAACATTAGGAAGTACTTTCAGGTATGTTACTAAAACTCAGAAGAATACCAAGATTTTCACCAGACATTAAGAGCTACACAAGAATAAGATTTTCTCTAACGCCATCAACTGATTAATCACGTACGAGGTCAAACTCGTAACCATAGCAACATAGAGAAACCAAGGGCACATAAAATCCATAAATAACAGAACAATTTTCAATGGCAAGAAAATCTTTAATTTCATTCCTCACTTGAAAATTGCTAAAACATATAGTACAAAATTTTTGTGTTCGACTAAATGTACTTCAATCCTGAAATATATTGTTGTCTAGAGATCAGATACTGGGCTAAAGAATATATAACTCCAAGGAGTCCCAATATCTTAACCTTGATAATGTCCGTCATCAAAACTGATGGCAAATTAAGAGGTATTGTCAGCAACGGCATAGATTCAGCCTGTTTTGTGTAGCTCCACACGAAGCGATTAAAAAGGATGTGGCTTGGGAATGTTAGAATGAGAAGTGCCAAATTCTTGACTGCGAAAAACCAATCTGGACCTCCCACATCTAATCCCCACCCTGCATTCCCGTGCCATACATTTTCCCATATGCTATACAGGGTAGTTAACACCAAGTAGGAGGAGATAACAACTACAACGGGGAAGTACCTTTGCTTGTCCCCAAAACCCGCAACAAAGTCAGAATCCTGATTAAGCAGCAGCAGGATAGGTGCCAAGAAGAAAATAGCACGGTTTGAGCCACCAGTGAGATTGACATTCAAGATCAGGCATATAGCAAAGCACATGATCGTAGCAACATTACCAACAGCAGGCATCCAGGCACCCTCAGCAGCCATTCTCTTGATTGTAAAGCTTGGAACAGCAGAGGCTTTGCGTTGCTGCATGAACCTTAATCTTGGGGGAACAGTAGTAGTAGAGCTACTTTGACCTGAATGGCTGTGTCTAACTCCACCCCTATCTACTACCTTTTCTCGCATCAGTGAAGCAAGCTCAAACTTTACTTCAAGTGCAATAAGCATAAAGATTGCAGCATATAAGCCAAGAAGGGAAGTCCTTGCACCTTCAACGGCCAGAAGGGTTGCCAGTTTGCTGTCTTCTTCTCCCATATCCTGCACTGCACTATCTCCAAGGATGGTTTTGTTTATTCTGACCTGGCCCTCCAATAAATATGTCACAGGAAAGAGAGCCACAAGAAGTGCAAATACCCATGGCAGAAGCTTTGTGCTTGAAGCAGATGGGAAGTGAGTGAAAACAACAAATACTGAAGCACAGACCATGGTGACAACAATGAGAACGTGGAGGATTGCAGCCTGGAGAAAATATTCTGCTGATATGTAAATTCCAAGAGAAATGCCTATAGCAATGGCATAAAATGTCCTCAATTCAACGACGTATTTAATGGGGATGGTGGAAGTAACAGATGCCAGGGTGAGCAGTATTGCAACAATAAGCAACCATGAGGGCCACGTAGACTTTGATGCGAAGAAGCCATAAATAGAAATGTCATCAGCAGATTGACGAGCAGCTTTGATTATGTCCGAGTGGTAAGTCCACGACAAGGGGATTGGCGGCTGCATTAGGATAAACAACAAACCTGTTGCAACCACCAGCACCAAGCATCTCTTTGCAGACTGCAAGATAAAAAGAAAAAGCTCCTAATTAGTTGCATCCAGTCAAGACCTCCCACTAAAGCAACCAGAAAAGTGGTTCTTTACACAAAACAAGAAGATACTTATCAGGATGTTGCACTTCCACGCGTTTGTAATATAAGTATCCCTATTCTATGACCATGAAATGTTTAAAGAACAGTTAAGAGCAAAAGATAACATGAACTAGACTTCCCAAATAAGGTGTAGCAAACTAACAGAGAGTGGATACGCGTAAGCAAACAGTCTTGATTTGAAGATTCACATTATTCCATCCCAATCCCAGATGTATAAACACTTAATTATTCTGGATATCTGTAATTATAGTAAATGAATTATCTTTCTCATTAAGAGGAGGGTTCAGAACAGAAAATCAACATGTTAGCACATTTCCTTTTAGAGTAAAAAATTTTATCTATTAACAATCACTGTTCTAATCATCAACAATTCTATTAAAAAGAAAGCATCAAATACAACAACAAATAAGTTGGGGGGAATACCATAACATGTGAAAAGTGAAGTGCAACAATCGGGACGCAAGCCAATCCCGTCAAGAAGAAGCAGGAGCCTAAAAGCAAACCATCAGAAGGAGGTCTACCATGCCACCATTGAAGAGCTTCAAAGACTGTTTCACGACAGAACCAAACTGATAAAGCAACAACAGCAGCATGAGCATAACCTTGCCAAGGTTTCATTTTTGAGGCAGTTCTTGACTTATCCCTGCAAGATAAACAAATTAGGAATCTGGAAGAAGGAACCCAATCTTTTTAGTGCTGGTGAATTTCGTTTTTTTTTTTTTGG